AAAAAAGAAAACAAATCCCTCTTTTTCCTTCTTTCTTTTTGCTGGAGTTCCTCTCTACAGAAGCTTTCTCATCACCTAGGGCTATTTCATCCTGTAGATTTTCCTGTTTATAGGGGCAAAACTGAACAAATGCTTCATTCTTTCCCGAGAAAAACCCATTTTGAGAAATAAGAGGTGATGCCCCGGTTACCTCCAAGCTGGTCTGCAGCACTTTTCTTCTGTCAGGCATCTCTGAACTTGTGGGTTTTCATACATGCAATGTTGGATTGATTGCAATCATTACACCATTCTTTGAAATCTGAGCTCCCCTACTTTCTCCACTTTTTTCATCCAGTCTAACAGTGTCACCCAGCCCAGCCTGATGGTTCAAACCTGTCATCGCAGCATTCAGGAGGCTGAGACAGGAAGATCCTGTAATTTTTTTTTTTCTTTGCCGAACTGGGGATTGAACTCAGGACCTTGTGCTTGCCAGGCAAGGACTTATTCTACTGGGCTATCTCCCCAGCCGATCCTGTAATTTTTTTTTAATATTTTTTATTGGGGCTGGGGAGATGGCTCAGTAGAATAAGTGCTTGCCTGGTTCTGCAAAAAAAACAAAAAAAAAAAAAAAAAAAAAAAAAAAAAACAAAACTCTATCTCTATCTATCTATCTATCTATCTATTTATCTATCTATCTATCTATATCTCCATGGTAATAGCTGGGCATGTATTTAGTACTGGGCAATACAGTACCAGTAAGAAAGAAGGCCAAAGTAGTGGTCAGTGAATATAATCCAGATGCTTGGGAGGCCGAGGCAGTAGGATGGCAAGCACAAGGCCAGCCTGGGCAACTTAGTAAGACCTGCCTCAAAATAAAATGAAAAGGACTTGGGGCTTAGTTTAACAGTAGTAGCTCTTGCACAAGCTCTTAAGTTCAACAATACCCAGTAGCACAAAAAAACAAAAAAAACAAAAAAAACAAAAAACAAACAAAAAAAAATTATACAGTTGGTTGTTCTTATCTGCTAGGGACCATCATACACAAGTATGTTTTAAAACTCCAGGGCTAGGGCTGGTCAGATAGCTCAGTGCACTAAACACCTGCTTAGGCAAGTGCAGGACCAGGGTTCAATCCCCTGCTGTTCTGTCCCTGTCCCCTGGCATGCTGAGCTGAAACCCAGTACTAAATACA